TTTCCTCTTCGATCTGCTTCTTCAGCAAACAGTGAACTTTGTTCGAATGAAGAAAAATCGTGACGACTGGCAGAGTTACGCGTTCGAACTCGGCTTTCGGCAAATGAGGAAACACTTCGACGGCGCTGCAGCGGAACGGCTCAACTTTGAACGAATCCAGCAACAGTGACCAAAGTTCGTTGTAAAACTGACCGCGCAAAATGTGGTCCACTGAGTAGGCGATTCTGAGACGCAAAGAGCCGTACTCTTCGCCCTGCTTGGACTGATGCACCGGCTCCGACTGTTTACTGGTCTCGTCCAAAAAATCGCTTTCGGTCTGAGAGTTCCTCGGTTTCAGGTAGTACCAGGCTACGTGTCGATGCGAGTTCATGATCTCTTTGGTCAGCGGGATCAGAACTTCGCCGTGAAAATAGCTGGAAAACGACCGCAACATGTCCTGCCAGATACTAAGCCTAAGTAATAAACGTTATGTCGGCAAATCTGTCTGCACTCGAGAACAGGAACAAAATCTGAGGAACAAAGATACGCAGTCATTATCGTATCAAGGTATGATATACCAAAAGAAACTGCAGTCGAAACATACTCAAATTACCTAGTATAAATAAAACAGTTACACCCAACGAGGAAAGGTACCAGAAATATCATTTTCACAGACGGGTTGATCAGCATGTAGAGCATGGGACTGCTCTAGGTTCGACGTCTGGTCAGGCTACTCGCTTTCCTTCCTTCTTAGGTTAATAAATTAGTAATACTTTGTGGGATGGAAACAGGTGACTACAAACCATACTTGTAACATAACTGCTGTCGACTCTGCCCTTAAAATTAAGACACTCTTGGATGATGGCATTGAAACAGAAGTTAGCGCTTCAACGATTAATGTCATGAAATGAAGGGCGCTAGAAGTCCGCTCCGATTATGAAAGTGAAATCAGATCAGCATTCCAATAATTACAAGATGTCCTTTCCTTCGATTTCACTTTTGTTACTTCAACCGAGCCAAGAACGATGACGAACAGATGCTGTAACTTACCTTACAACAGGAAAATAGGAAGATGAGGACGAATCCATAAGGCAGCCAGTAGAAAAGTCTTCTCCTGATGTCGCCGCCGCGTCACGTGCGCCGTCATCATTGACATTAAGGCGGTTCAGGTCGAGGGAAATCGCACCGACCGGCGACACGATACCGGACGAAAACGACTTTCGTCGAATACGCATTTTCTTCGTTCCCTGATAATCTGAGCTATGAACATTTTGTACAGTGATCAGTGCGTACAGGTCCGTACTACGAGTAGACGTCAGCGACAAATCACAGTAGTCGAGCACTCTGAAATGAGAAAAATGAAAAGCCGACTAAACAATACAACAGATAGAAGGTTATGCGCTAAACGACCGACCGGCAGAACAACGCTCGTTAAAAATATTAACAATACGGTTCGAACTTCTAAACAACTCTTGGAACGAATCACCCACGTATCAGATCATTCAACGAACCGAGTTTCATAAAGTCTTCATATGCTTCAAAAGTAGATACTGAACCGAACACAAATGCGTGCACGTGTGAAGTTTGTACGATGCTAATGGATTAATCTCCAGTCGGTAAAAGTTATAAATCCTTATTGAAAATTAAAGAAAATTTATACACACAGAATGAACGAAACGACTGAAGTTAATTGTTTGACGGGATCACAAGAAAATTCAGTTCTTCTGGAGCAAAACAAAACGATCGACAACTAACAAAGAAGTAATGTGCATTTCAGATACACAGAAGTGTAATCTGATGCAAGAACATACAAACGAACCACTGCAACTCTACCGAACGCAAAGACCAACAGGAGAGCGAATTATGTCACACTGCGGAAATTCAAATGGTATTGGGCAGTACTTCACTGGGACTTTGACAAGGCGCGCTTAAAATAAAGACAACAGATCAGATGATAAGACCCAGTGCTTCTGTCACAGTTACAGAACGTACCGGAACGGCATTCCGGGACTTTGTTTTTGACAGATTTTCCAAGTTTTAAAAGTAACTTTTGAAAATCTGACGTTTGGTCCACGTGGAGACTTGAATCGCGCTGTCGAGCGTAGCAGTTCGGCGGAAAAATCATTAAAACGGTGCGCGCGGGCTTGTTAACTAACATTAACAAGGTGTGAGTTCCGGCACCATTTTTCTGATAAAAAAAGCACCGGTAAGATCTATAGTAAACCTGCTGTAATTCCGTTCATCCTCTAGGAAACGTCTTTTCAAGTGAACCTGAAGATCTCATTTCATAAAATGCGATTATTTCCGCTTCTATGTAAGGATTGAAGCACACAGAATATCTGTGGTTCTGCAGATGGTTCAGGTGGTCTTGCAGAATGAGAAAAGAGAAAGGCTGAGACGGTTCGAAATAATCCTAGCCCACTAACTTTATACATCTAAATATTTATGAGCATTATCTTTCCACCCGCCGTCATTCAGTATTCCCTCTTATGGTGTATTCTACTTGTAGCCATCATATATCATCTGTACATCGTTTAACCATTGAATTATGCAACTGGCATAATGTTAATCAAACCCTTTGTACGAAGTCTGTTTTCGCTAATTTAAGTAATAAACGTATTTTGTTTAGTGAAATAAATTTTCGACACAATTTCATACGCTGAACAAGTGGATGAGTGCCACTATCAAGAATGTTTCGCCACGTATGAATAAACAGATAAGCATAAAAATAGAGGTTTTCGATAAATACTACTACTTTACTAAAACGTAACGCTGTGAATTACATTTAGAATCAATTCAACACTGTAGAAATTTTTTCCCGGATGACACCACATTAACAAGTTTATCATACATAGAGTCGCCAATGTACCATATACAACTTGACTCTTTCCCAGACACGATGATACAGTAAATTTTTGTGCAGCATCAGTTTGATTTAGCATACTGATCTCTGTGAAAACGGATTGGATACGATCTGATGAATAGGTACGATTCTGCACACATTAAACTCGTTACGCGGTGTCGTCTCGCAAAAAAACTGTGGGATTTAATATCAGTATATCTGATGTTAGTGCGACATACACAATAAAACAGTCATGACGAGGAAGCACTGATCACGATATTATGTATGAAAGAACTGTAAATTAGAAACGATTGGACCATCGCATCGGTGATTTTACTCCACAGAAAAGGAGAAAGAAAGGATTTAAGGATCTACAAGCCGATCAGTCTGGTGCCAGTCATCAACAAGATCTCCACGAAGGCGCCGACGAAAAGACTTCAAGAAAAACTGAACGTTGCACAGCCAACGGAGCGAGCAGGATTCAGAAGTGGATTAAGTATGATGGATGGTCTTCAGGTGGTGCGACAAGTGATTGAAACAAGCAACGAAGAAATCAGCTTCGCTGGAATCCGTCGATTTAGAGAAAGGACTGAGTTTACATCCGTTCTCTAGTAGTCTCCTTAATGAGCCAGAGAGCTTACTGCCATTATCTAAAGGAATGAAACTGTTGGTGCGAAGCTTTATACGGTAAGTAGATACAAGCAAGTTCAAAATCAGAAGAGACATCTTACAGGGAGATACAGTACCACTGAAGTTGTTCACAGCTACCCCCATAGATTTTTAAGACACTTCGTTGGGAAGATCAGGAGCTGAACATAAAGAGGCACACTTAAGGCCATACGGTTTGCGAACGATGTTCTAGTCCTCTCGAGGTCACCAGAAGAACTTCAAACAATAATCCAAGGACAGAGCGACACCGTCATGAAAGTAGGACTGAAAATAAACCTGACGATGATTCAAATCATGTTCAACAAATACGTGTCGAAGGCAACGCATGATGGCCTGAAAGGTGCTGCAAAACTACGTCTATGTTGGACAGCCCACCTTTGTAGCAGAAGAAAAAAATTATATGAAGCAATCTTGGAACACTGAATGTTTCTATCAGAGAAACTTCCCTTGTGCTTGAACCGACAAGTTCTTCGATCAGTGTGTGCTCCCAGTGCTAACCTGTTAACCTGTGGGCGCAAAACGTGGAACTTAGGCCTGAAAACTATTAAATTAAATTATATTGTAAAGTACAGACTACGCAACGCAGCCTAGGAAGATATATGCTGGAAATAACGAGAAAAAATAGGGAAAAGAAAGAAAAAGTAAGAGCATAAATAAGAGATTGCAGTGTCATTGCCAGAGTGACGATATTATTAAAGTGGTCACGGAAAAAACATGTTGCAAGGTCACAGGAATCTATCAGTGCACCAGAAACCTTAGACTGGCTTCCAGCACAGAACAAACAGCCGATAGGTATACCTCCAGATCGATAAAAATCACTGAAAAGAAGTTCATGGCAAACTCTTGGGGAGGATTCTACGGGTGAAAAAGGGCTGCTACAAATGATTATATTTGTATTAGCAAAAATGGCTAACTTAATGAAGCGCAGAAGTTCATTACCAGGAATGTCACTTGTTGCAGAGATTTTTATAGCA